GGGGGGGGGGGGAACCCAGAGGGACAGAGGGTTCCCGCCTTATGCAAAAGATATATAAAGGGGTGGAACAGAACAAAGGGGGAGAGAAGCCATCATGAAGAATCCCCTAGCTATCACCTGAGCTGGAACAAGAGGTGTACCAGGGGAAAGAATTGTGCCCAGGCCTGGAAGGTGTCCAGTCTGAGAGAAACTTACTGAAGCATCTCTGAGGGTGAGATTATCTGTATTTAGTTTGATTAGACATAGATTTGTGCATTTTATTTCATTTTACTTGGTGACTTACTTTGTTCTGTCTGTTACTACTTGGAACCACTTAAATCCTACTGTCTGTATTTAATAAAATCACTTTTTATTTAGTAATTTACTCAGAGTATGTATTAATACCTGGGGGAGCAAACAGCTGTGCATCTCTCTCTATCAGTGTTATAGAGGGCGAACAATTTATGAGTTTACTCTGCATAAGCTTTATGCAGGGTAGAACGGATTTATTTGGGTTTAGACCCCATTGGGAGTTGGGCATCTGAGTGCTAAAGACAAGCACACTTCTGTGAGCTGTTTTCAGGTAAACTTGCAGCTCTGGGACAAGTGATTCAGACCCTGGGTCTGTGTTGGAGCAGACAGGAGTGTCTGGCTCAGCAAGACATGGTGCTGGAGTCCTGAGCTGGCAGGGAAAACAGGAGCAGAGGTAGTCTTTGCAGGTCAGGTGACGGTTCCCGAGGGGGTTTCTGTGATTCAACCCGTCACAGGAGTGTTCACTTGTATTGTGTTCTTAACTCATCTGACTTCGGTGCGCTTTGGACAGGCCCTTAGGGGACCATAAGCAGATTCAATTTCACTGAAACCAATTGTTTTCAACCCCTTAGACAAGGGATTAATTTGATCTCCGTCTCAACTGATATACAATTTACCTGAGTAAAATGTGGAAGTGTTCTTTCCCTATTACTCATAAAAGTAACTATTTAAAATGACATTTGGTTCAGTGCTTAAAAATCAACTTCATTCTCTGCCATTGCAGATGTTGTGAGTGAGCAGTAAACAGGAAAAGAAGGCTATTTTCCTTCACTTTTTCTACTTCTTTTTAAAAATAAAATAGCAGGTGATTTTGGTGTTAAAAAGGGATGTTTACTAGTAGCTAGAATGAAGCAGAATTTAAACTGCCTCCATATGGTTCTATTATTGCCACATACTCCTGACTTGCAGTACTCTCTGCTATTTCAGACCTGAGTTCCCACATGCTTATTAATATACCTCAATCCCAGCCTAAGCCTCCATAAAATATTCCAGTCCTAATAGAAAATGTATGATTTGACTGTGCCAAATGTTGATGGTTTTATGAACATTAGGATATAGGGTAAGAATTATCAAGGTCATTTCCATTTACAATCTAAGCTAGGATCCGAAATCAAGTCTCCAGCAGCAGACAACTGGCTTGCTAACACCACCTCCTCTCTGAATGCCTATTCCACTTTAAATGTTAGTGTTTGCCTAGTCTTGATCGTGCTCCCTAGGTATATCAATACTTGATAGAATTCAGAAATTTCAAAAAGCTTGTGAAAATGGAACGAGGTTGGCAGAATGTTTCAGTGAAAGCTCCAATGTAATCTTAACTATGGAGAAAGTCCAGAAAAGAGCAACAAAAATGATTAAACGTCTAGAAAACATGACCTATGAGGGAAGATTGAAAAAAAATGGGTTTGTTTAGTCTGGAAAAGAGAAGACTAAGAGTGGACATGATAACAGTTTTCAAGTACATAAAAGGTTGCTACAAGGAGGAGGGAGAAAATTTGTTCTCCTTAACCTCTGAGGATAGGATAAGAAGCAATGGGTTTAAATTGCAGCAAGGGCGGTTTAGGTTGGACATTAGGAAAAACTTCTTAACTGTCAGGGTAGTTAAGCACTGGAAAAAATTGTCTAGGGAGGTTGTGGAATCTCCATCATTGGACATTTTTAAGAGCAGGTTTGACAAACACCTGTCAGGGATGGTCTAGATAATATGTAGTCCTGCCATTAGTGCAGGGGACTGGACTAGAAGACCTTTGGAGGTCCCTTCCAGTCCTATGAATCTATGATGGACTCCTTTGATACATTTGGCAACATGTACTTTAGCCCAAGGGAAGAAGAACTCTTCTTGTGGAAGAGATTATTCAATCTTGCAGCAGGGCACCTCCTTCACCTCCCCCCCTGGTGGTGGGGAGCTGGAGCAAACCATCCCCCCCTCTGGAGAATTTTTATTCCTCACTCAGGTTTTATTTTTCAGTATTTTACAAGGTGGGCCCAAGGGTAGGCCCAAGGAGTGCTCTTCAGCCAAACCAAAGAAACAAATTCATAATACAAAAAGGGAATACCTTTCCCTGCCACCTCTCTGGGCTGTTGCCTTGTTATGCTGGTTTCTGAGAGCCAGTCCTTCCTTAAACAGGCAGTTAGTTTGGTTGCTTCCTCTACAGAGAGGAGAGCAGCCTTCCACCCAGGAGACGTCTTTTCTCCCTACTGCAGGTTGTCTCACTTTTCTCCTCCCTTTTGCTCACTGGAAGGAGAGTGGGGATGGTTAAAGGTCAGAGGCAGCCATTAATTGGACTCAGGGGTCCCTAGTTGACCTGAGTTCAACTCTTTTCTGTTCATTCTAGGGCTGATATACCTGCCTTCCACTACTCTCTTACAGCCGTCTGCTTTGACTTTGTCAAGGTCTGTAATTAAATTGGTTGTAAAAGGGTGAACATAGGGGTTTGAAGACATGGGGGGGAAAAAGGAAGAGAGAATAATTTTCAATAAGTCAGATTATAGAAGGCTAAATGGAGGTTAATACTCATACAGGCAATTTTAAGTCCATTTAAAACACAGCACTCCATAAACAGAGGGGCACTGGAACACTTTTTAAATGTCTCAAATTGAGAAAGGTCATGATGTAAGCCAGTTAGAATACAAAGCCATGCATCCGAAGAAGTGGGCTGTAGCCCACGAAAGCTTATGCTCTAATAAATGTGTTAGTCTCTAAGGTGCCACAAGTAGTCCTGTTCTTAAAGCCATGCAAGGTACCAGAAGAATTCTCACAAAGCAAATGAAACAGTCAAGAGAGAGTCAAATTAGTAGTTATTTATTATTTGCATTATAGTAGTGTCTAAAAGTCCCATCTGAGATTCAGACCCCATTGTGCTAGGCATTGTAAGCATTCAGGGAGAGACTATACCTGCCCAGAAGAACATACAGTCAAGAAAGAAACAGCAGATGAGGAAAGAGACACAGAGATGAAACAACTTGCTCAAGATCAGATTAGGTCAGTAGTAGAGCTGAGATCAGCACCCAGGTCTCCAGACTCCCAGCCAAGCACCCTATCCACTAGCCCATCAGTTGACAGTATAGATGAAGTGTTATCTAACTAAAACTTTCCCACTGGAGCAGGCCAAATATTTTGCTTATTCTTGTACTGAAGGAAAAGAAAGTAGCAATAAAGAGTAATGTGCAATGCGGCCAGAAATAAGAGAGAAGGATGTATATTTTAAATCAAGGGGATCTATGACTCATCTAGACATACAAGAGCAAAGCTGGAGAAGTTTCTATGACCCATTTAAATCACAAGATAAAATGCATGCATTACTGTATGATTTACATGCCATTTTGGGGGGGAGGGGAGACATTTCTTGGGTGCCAACCAAAAATGTGAAACTAAAACCAAAACAAAAATATACCAAAAGTCAACATTACCCTCCGCACCATCCATTTATTCTCATAGTTTGCAGTTTTTCCAAATAGATGTGCTTTTATTTGAGCTCCTATTTCCTCACTTTCCTCTACAATAATAAATCTGGAGGCTTTGGAGGGTTCAATGTTGCAGTTTATTAAATAAATACATTTCAACTTTCACATTTTCAAGGTGCTCACTCTAACCCCTTAAAGCCACAGGCAGTCAGAAAGATACAAATGAGTAATGAAAGCATGAAAAAATTAACTTCTATTGAATTTCATTTTAGTATGCAAGTGTGTCAAGATAAGGGTACAGTAAAAATTTCACAAGAGAACACATATCCTGCTGTTATGCTTTTTGTCTAAAAGTGCCCAGATGCATTCCTACAAAATCAGCCCTTTCTAGTCCAGTCCCCGATTAACATAAAAATAACAAAACAAAAAACAAAAAAAACAGAGTGGTTTACATGGAAAAATATTGTGCTGAAAGGAACCTTATCATTCTTGGCTCATTTAAAGATAAGACAACCTTGGTCAGACCCATGGTCCATCAACTCCGGTATCCTGTTTCTGATAAAAGCCAGAACCAGATGCTTCAGAGAAAGGTAAAAAACAGAGAACCGCCCCGCCTCTCACAAACAGAGTAGATGATTTAGAATAGCCTGGCCACAAAGAAAGTTTCTTCCTACCCCTTAATTTATAAGTTGGTTTCTATCCTAATGCATGGAGGTTTATAGCCCACTAATATAACTTTCTCATGCGACAAGTTTTAGACCTAGGGCCAAAATCTCCAAATTTGGGTACCTAAACATGGACGTAGATGTTTAAGTTAAAAAATGCCTATTTTGGGGCCCACAATTCAACTTCCTGCTGAGGACAATGAGAGCTGGATCAGGCCTTATTTTGGCAAAAGTAATTTATTTCTTGAAATTCCTCTTGCCTAAATTACCTCAGATTAAAGTGAATTGGACTGTCCGTTTAATAAGAGACGGACACAACATGTTGGGTTTTTTATTAAATGATTTTTTTAATGGTTTTCTCTGCCTCAGATTCCTCATTTGCCCAAACATGTAAGGGTTTTATTAAGCAGACAAATATAGAAAAGTTACTAAAAACTAAGATTAAGTATTTTAACCAAACGTTCAGGTCAGTGGAGAGAGAAGACACCCACAAATCTTATAAAATAGCCTGAGACTCTGATATGGCCTTGGTTTCCCTCGCTATTATATCTATATCTATGTATACAGATCTGTGTGCGTTATATATAAAAATGTAATACTGTACAAGGGAGTCTCCTGCCCCTTTCGAGGGTAAGCCTTTAGGACACACTAACTGTAGGGAATTGAGAGTGGAGGGGATGAAAGCTCACACTGCAGTTGCCTGCATTGCACCTGTTCAGTGGCTAAATAAAGCATCTCAGTTCTAGTTTTGGTTTCATTCACTGCCAGCCCCTTGATATGCAGAGGGAAGATATCCCACCATCTCAGTCTGTCAATCAAATTGGAAATATGTATTCAGTACTGTGGGAACAAT